TGGATATAACCTAACGGAATATCTTCAGAACGGCTCCAAATGACACTAAACTAACATGGGTGAGTAGAACATGATGGAATAACGGAAAATCAAGGACTCAATGGAAAAAAAATTCCAATTCAAATTTAACCAATTCAATTCAGTTTATTTCTGTAGCACCAATTCACAACACGTCATTTCAAGGCATTTTACAGTTGGTTTTGCATCATTCAGCTGGATTCCACTCCTTCCTCTGGGCATGAACTGAACTCTAAGATCAGGTTAGTGACTCACGCATTCATAATCTTCCTCAGGCAGACTTATGTGGTCACTAACCTGCGTTTTTCCTCTGCAGAGATTCCAGCCTTAGACGCCCCAGCTGCTAGATTGTAGATACGTTTCTTAATAAATGAGAAGTAAGCCTGTCAGTTTGCTTTAAATTCTGGGTCCTCTGTTGGGAGCCTTGGCAGATGGTTTATATTGGAGAGACTTTTTTTGAGCGCCACTCCAGCTGAGGTCATTAAAAATGTCCATGTTTGAATTTATTTGAAATATTTTTGTGTAAATCCACCGGTACATCAGTGACATTTTAAGGTGATTTGGTTGAAAGTTTTCTTTATGGATTAAAAGCCATAAATATGTGCTGGTTTCCACCTCAAATATAATCTTGAAGCTGGTCCTAGAAAGTCTGCACTGAACTGGTCCCCCAGTTTATATGATAATGCTGATGAAGGAGCAAGTGGAGGGAAACTGACAGCTGCTAATTGACATATAAACAGGCAGAGTCTTTCAGTCGGGTTGTCAGTGTTGATTTATTGAAGTTATTGGAGCCTTGAAATGATCGGGAGGACAGCAGGTGTCTGAAAACATCCATACAGACAATGAAGCTGTTTCCTAGATGAGCAGAACTTCCCATCTTTATTTTTTATCCACATTGACTCCTAAAAGTGGTTGCTAGTTTAGTTAATTGATTTTTTTGACAGGGATGATATGCATTAATTAAATCTGCAGTGAATGCACCAGAATCAGCCAAATGGCTTATAGAAACACTCATTCTCCTATGAGGGCCGATCCCTATAGGGGGAACAGACCCTCAGGTCCAGAAGGAGATTCTGCAGACATTTAAAGGAATATCTGAGGAAAAGGAACCATTTTGTGCATATTGCTGTAGCTTCACACTGAGCTGTTAGTTAAAACTAGAAGTTATCTGATTGGTTAAAGAAAATATACCAATTGATATTTATTTATTGCATTTATTTGACAGTGACTGGCCAACAATAACACAGACTGAATAAAATATATATCTGTATAATGTACACTTTCATTTATTCAGTTTTTCAGTTTGATTTATTTCATTCAAACAAAATAAATTTAAAATTTACAAACATTCCCAAATAAATGCATCTAAAATGAAAAGGAACAGAAAGAAGAGCAAACTTCATGCAAATTGACAAACTTAAAATGTGTCTATTAAAGCACGTTTTTTAGACCATGTCAAAATGATTTTAAAGCACTAAACAGGAGTAGATTATTTAAGATTATAACCTTAAATTCTACTTAAAAAAAGATCAATACTCTTCAAGTAAATTAAGACAATTGTACTTAGTAAGACTTCTTAAATTAAGATATACGTCTTCTCAAGATGTTTTTGTTAGATTGGCACTTTTTGCAGTACACTACATATCTCTAGTTGGGCTTTAATAAACAGTAAACATAGAATAGAATTGAATTAATGAGCTGACAATGAGCCTGGTTCTGCTGGAGGTTTCTTCCTGTTAAAAATGAGTTTTCCACTCCACTGTCGCTACAAGCATGCTTAGTGTGCAAACGATACTATATTACAAGTGAAAAACTAAATTGGAACTATATCTATGCAACTACTTTGTTGGAAAATTGATTTTTTTTTTTTTTTT